TTTGTCAGATACGTCACAATTATACCTAGTAGCCATGAAAGATTTACTTTTCGCAATGTGATATAACAAAGATTTTTTAAAATTACATAAGCTGTTCAGTAAGAATTTGATACTGGAATAAATGTTAGTTGTTTTCAGTGAAGCATGATTTTAATTTTTATTCCAACCTTGCCATCGTCAAAATTACATCTATATTTTTCAATTCCATTGGTTCAGTCAAGTTCCTTCTATATAAGCTGCAATCTCCTGTAAATACTTAATTTAAATTTTCTGTGAATAAAATATGGACTTTTTTTATATTACAGATGTACTATGCAAATCATCATGTAAGCCTCGTACTTTTTTTCAATTTCATACATAAATTTACTGAATATATTTTCGAAAATCTAAAGGGGATGATATTTTTCTCACAAATTTAAAATTATAAGCAGTATATCACTTACAAGGATTAATTTATCGTGTTACGTTTGCATACTCCAGCAGTCAACAAGGAAATCATATTTATGCCTTGCATCTTTCTCCATGATCTTTTTTATGCTGGAAACATAAATTTTACAATTTTAGTCAAGAATTCCTTACTCATTTTTTTTTAAAGTGTATTTCTTCGAGATATCCACATGTATTTCTTTCTGCATTATACATTTTTTTTTTTACTTTTAAGTGTATACATGTATCTTTAAAAATGTCTACATGATTAATCTAAAGAGATACATTGAATACTTTACCATTAATCATACTGAATAAATACTGAAGCGGACTGTAATATGTCTTTCAGGAGAAAACTTGATTAATTTTTTTTTACATAAGCTGAAGAATAAATATCATGATGATAACTCTGAAGTACAGGCAGTATATAAATTGTTTATTTCTACCTTCTAAATATATATATATATATATATATATATATATATATATATATATATATATATATATATATATATATATATATATATATATATATATATATATATATATATATGTACATTATATCTTTCATTTGACGCTTTACGTATTAAGATTTTTTCAACGAGGTAAGTTTTTGGCAAACAAGTTGATTGAAGAAGACTATAGAAATTCTCATTTAAAATAATCATTTCGTAAGTTTTATGGTCGATACAATGACCTTGTCAGCAAATATAATTTTTTCATTGAGTCAAATGCTGACTGAAGTTTTTCATACTTATTGTTAGTCCATTATTTATACTCTGAATTGACGACGGGTTTTCCGTTATTTCCCGATCATGACAAGGAGCACACGGTGGGTGTGACAGCTCAGCAGTGGAGCTTCTTTCCTCCATGACGCCTGATCCCACCTCTGATGTTCATCTTTGCTCTGCTGCTGATTTGAATTGTTTGAAGGACTTTTGGGCTTAATACTGATATCTCCATATATTTCATAATAGAAGTACAAAATACAATTTAATTGACACAAATTCAGCCCACAAGTAGTTATGCGTCGGTTCATGCTATTCAATTATGCGCTGTTGAAGTTGCTAATAAAGCCAATAAATAAAAGATCCAAAATTTTACAGAGACTATTAAACCATGTGATTATGTCAGCAAAAACATATGTTGATACTATTATGATTTTGAAGTTTTCTTTAAAAGCTCCCAAGTAAAGGTTCCTTTGTTTAATATGTATACATACATGTAATTATTTACACTACTGCTAAAAAATTCCTGAAATGATATCATTAAACCAATTTCCCACAAACATTCAATGCAAAATATTTGACCAAGGATTATTACTTTATAATGGATATTATTGCTTTGGCATTCAAATAAGCATATCATCAAAAGATTATTAATTACATGAAGATTAATAATTTATATGAATATATATTTTGACAGTAGGACTGTCTGTCAATCTCATTCCCTAGCGTATTATTAAACAGATCATAAATGACACTAGTTTTACACGTATTGAACTTCCTGACACAAACTTTATACCTGGATATATATTAGTTAATATAAACTAGAGGTACTGTGAGCAATGATCTCACTAAATAATACCCCCGCCTCCCATATGAATATAATGGCAGTGTCCATGTTTTGCTTTAAAAAATGAAAAATATATGTCAGATCAAAAAGCAAAATAGGAGGTGCACAATGGCAATATGTAATTAAGAATCTGTGAAAGTTTCATTAAATTTCCTTCAGTGGTATGAAAGGAGTTGCGGATAAGAGATGGGTACCCCAAAGCGTAACAGACGGACGGACGGACGTACAGACGGACGGACGGAAATACCGATTACTATATACCCTCCCACTTTTAAAGTGGGGAGTATAATAACGTACAACTCTATGTATTTATTTCTTTTCTATAAATTGTAATTATAAGTATTAAGGAGGCTGGTGGGTCAACAAATTAATCCCAAATTAGCCACCAGATTTAACTTAACTTTTTAGATACGGTATCTTTAGCTGTCAACTATCATTTGACAAAGAAAAAATTCATACAACATTTTTGTATATCTTTATATGGAGCTCTCCTTTTAAAGGAGATTGAAATAGTCTAAAAATGGCTGCCACCCCCCAGCCTCTTTAAGTAAGTATTTAAAAATACTCTAAAGGATTAAAACACAAGGAATATAATTCAGAAAAGTTTTGGCTGAGAGATCTACACTAGGATGCAAATAACAAAGACGAACCATAACCATACTAAATCCTTCTGTTCCATCAAACACAATCTGCAAGTCCCCCACAAACAAAAGACTGACTGCCTGGTTTAGGCCCCTTTAAAAATATCAAAGATTTTTGGGATTTTTCCCCTTATTTTGAGAGATCTTTCAGCTGAAAGTGGACCGAAAATGTGTTTATGTGTATATAATACAAATTAAAAATCTTAATACCCTAAAAATATTTCTCTCTTTCAAATCTTGCAATGATCTACGGAGATAACGAGCAGTATTCAAGCTCAAAAGTCCATAAAACAACAATCTCAAAATCTCTCAATGACCTCTTGAGTAGATATAAATATACTACAAGAATCAGGTGGTGATTTCTGATGTTTCTCAGATCTCATCTTTAAATGCCAAAACAACTTCGTAGTTTGTTTGAAAGATTTCTGAGAGAGATTAGGGGGTGAATCATAGAAAAAACGGTATCGTAATTAAGCTCAAATGTCCATTTAAACAATACACATCGGGGACAGAGCAAAACACGGACCTCTAAAGACATCAAGGTGGAATCAGATGCCATGGAGAAGTAAACATCCTCGATCGACTGGTTACACCCACCATGTGCTCCTTCATGATCAGGAAATAACGGGAATACCCATAAACAATTAAGTGTGTAAAATATGGCCTAAGAAACAGTAAGAAAAATTGTCAGTCAGCTTTCGGCTTAATGAGATAGTATTTGCTGACATTGTCATTGCAAAACAACTTGAGAAATGGTGCCTTTTCATCAGACTGTTGATATTCTTGATTCATCAACTTGTTTATCAATAACTTGTCTTTTTTTTAGAAATTGTTAGTACATAGAGATTTAAGTCATATTTAAAGGGGCATGGACACAGTTTCAGCTAAAAATTTTCACATTTTCCATTTTTTTTATGTTCACATACTGATTAGGTACAGTGTATTTCTAATGGTCGTCAAATATTTGATTTTCAGTTGTCGAAATACAAGACAGATTTAGAGCTCCCAAACTTTGTTATGTAAACAAGGCCCGTGTCATGTTTTTGTTTGCATAGGCTAAAATATACTAAAATATGTTTTCTTTTCAATAAAAGAAAGTTTTCAATAAAGGAAAGTTATGTCCTTTTGTTATAATAGTTTTCAATAACAAAAAGTTAATTATGAAGAACTTTAAGTTCTATATCTCCTTTGTAAATCAACAAATGGTGTTTATTTTTGTGATTTGCCGTATTGTAAACATTTTGTTATAAATTTCAATTGAACATGATATTTTCTATATGTAAACAAAAACAAGGCATGTGCCTTGTTTACATTATGAAGAACTTTAAGTTCTATATCTCCTTTGTAAATCAACAAATAGTGTTTAAATTTTTGCTGATCATTAGACTTGCCTTAGTTAAGAATTGTAAACATTATAATTGGTAAATATAAATTTCAATTGAAAATGTGTTCATGCACCTTTAAGCGTTCTTTGAGAGGCACCTTATCTTAGCAATCGTACACTCTGTTTAGATTAAATTCATTTTGTAGTCTTCCTCACTAATATGACATTTTTATCAATTCATAAATTAAGTTGACTTTAGGTGATACTCTTCTATCATGCACCAAGCTACTCTTGAGCTGCCTGTCTAGGTTTTTATACTGGTGCAACATAAAATATGCTCTTGCGTATTGAAACTGGGATATAAATACCATTGGTTTAAATGATAACAGTATAATGGTGTCTATTTCCATGTACAATTTAAGAATTTCAGTAATTAATGTGATTTTATGATGCCTGATAATGCTGTACTCTTCCTCTGATTCAAATTTATAGGAAAATCAAGCAGAAATTAACTTTTTATTAATTTTCCTCTATAAATACAGGGATTTTCATCATATTTGTTAAAAACACTTGGTCATATTACTTCTGATTTTCTGTATAAGAATGATGGTACTAAAAGGATTTAAATTAAGAATAACTTGAAAAATTATCAGAGAGAAATGTATATTGTAAAGGTCCTGTACCTTTATATTGTGTATGTCATTAAACTTCCGTTTTTCTAAGATTATTCTTGATTTTTTCCCTATAAAAATTGCTGCCACCAACATTTTTCAGAATGTGAGGATTGGTTGTAAAAAAAAAAAAAATAAATAAAACATCGTCCAATTCCTGTTCTAACATTGTTTCATTCAAATATTTTTTAATAAAAAGCTAATCATATCATATCAGATTAATATTTCATAAAATGTTTCAAATCAAAAAAAAAACCCACTTGATAAAGAAAACCCATTTATTCAATACTTTAGAAGTATACAATGTCAATGGGTAAAATATGATACAATGAAAACCTTTAACTTGCTTCAAGGACTGGAGCTTCAATACTGAGCTAGTCCAAGGATCTCATGATAAATGGATTTATAGTACAATACCTCATCAACAAACATCAGATATTTGGATCACTGTGATATGTCTTTAACACTGCATGCAACTTATAATGTGTACTTACATGTACTTTGGCAACTTTCTACTCAATTAATACTGAGCAAGAGCAAAAGTGGCTGTAATGAAAAAACCACACTCTGTACATCTTTTGGATCAAGATTCTGGTAAAGAGAGGACTACAATAGTTGTCCTATTCCTTGTTAATTACAACACTGACTGGATTATGTTGCCTCTGACCCCTGTTCTGTTGCTGGGACTGGATATTTAGACCTGAGTTCACGGAGCAGTGACTGAACCTCTGGACAGATGGTGTGTGCGTCTCTTGTCAGTGTGTCCTGTATAGGGCGGAGAAGGTGTTTGATCTCTTCTAGTCTCTCAATTGTCTGAAACCATGAAAAATACGTACGTAAATGAATTATTACAAAATCTGCTTTAAAACCACATGTACAAAACAAAGCTGAAACGGTTCCACTGACGTCAATCCTGCATCACTGTAAAAAAGTCAGGTTTTATGTTTTAGACTAGATGACAGAGAATTTGCAATACTGGGTACTGCTATACATGTATAATGGAATCATCATTATTCAAGGAGGACCAATGTTCATGGGTCTACCTTAACCACCAAATTACATTCCCACAAACAGGAATTTTATCAATATATTTATTGAATTTTCTGAATATACATGTACTAAGTTACCCATTAAATTATGTACCCCATGTCAATGAACCAACAAAATTTTGCATACCCATGCATGAAAACAATTCCACAGTCTATAATGAACCACAGATTCTGTTAGAAGAATTATGAGATAAATTGTATGGTTGAACATCCACATATTGAACATTACTATCTTGAACAGCCAGTCCCAACCACTTTTTTTATGCATTTTAACCTCAATACCGTAAACCAACGTTTATTCGCGACAACTTTATTTCGCGATTTATCAGAGGTAAACTAGTTGGCGACAATTAATATTCGCGATTAGACCTTTTTCAATCTGTTGTAAATAGACAGAGAAGCTTTAAGTATCGGTTCACGGCGAGAAATATTCAAGATGACGAGGTTGTCGCGAACTTCGCGGAAATTTCTCGCACACGAATAAAAGTTGGTTTACAGTATCTCAATCCTTAGATATCTTAAAGATTATTCTTGGTCCTATTGAGTTCAGAACAGAGGCCTGACCATTTATCAATTAGAAAAACAACCTTGGGCCCTCTATAAAAAAGGTTCATAATACACAATCAGTATAAACGTGACAGAAAACACAATGGCATGCACAAAAAAAAAGAACAGAAAAAATTGGCAAATGTATTGCATATAATGGAATAAATGTAACTTTGTTTATGTTTTTACCTGTTGTTTGTAGGCTAGGTATATATGAACTAGTGTTCTGTTTTTACCTGTTGTTTGTAGGCTAGGTATATATGAACTAGTGTTCTGTTTTTACCTGTTCTTTATAAGCTAGGTAGAAGTTCCCGGACTGAGGATCGTCCTCCAGACATGGAGACAAGCGGAGCTCTACGTAATTCCTCAGACTCGGTGCCACCATGAAGATTTTGGCTGACAGGACCTGCATTAGTTTCCTCCAGTAAATCATTACCATCCTACCAAAGACTGCCTCATCAACTGTCACCTGTATAACATTCCCAGATTATAAACATTGTAATTTAACATTGAAATTTGGTAACAAATACCAAAATTATTATTATCCAAAAAGTACTTTTTTTTAAAAAAAATGAATCCCCAGATGCTACATCACTCTGAACATTAAACATGTATGGCTATTAAGAACAACCTTTCCTAAATTGTTCAATCCTCCCATTAGAAATAAAATTCTTGTAAAATTTGAAACAAATACCTTGAAATCCTCTATGACGGTAAATCCTGCCAGTTTAGAGGGCAGTGCTATTTCTTTAATTTCTTTTGTCTGGAATTCTTCCTCCCACAATTCCTCCGTTTCCTCCTCCTTTTCCTTCTTTGTTTCCTCTTCATTCAATTTCATCTTCTCCCTCTCCAGAAGATTTACTTTCACTTTGCTCTCTTTTTCCCTCATTTCTTTTGCTAACTTTTCCTGCTTCTTTCTCTCTTTCTCCTTCTTCTTTCTCTCTTTGGCTGGAGTGGGTGGTTTTTCTTCCTTGGTCACAGTAGACATGTATTTGTCGTATCTGACCTTGTACTGAATCATCTCCATAAACAGCTGAGTGAGGTCCTGTAGGGTGCTGGTCAGAGCTATCAAGTACTCCATCTGGGCCCCCATACTGTGTAACACATACCAGGCTTCCACAATAAGCTTATGTTCCTGTTTAAAAAGAAAAGTAAAATGTATTTTATAATTCTGAATACGGATGTAAAACAAGCTCTTTTCTAGGACAGTTCTTGAATCTTTCATTTGTACAGAAATTTGTTTATATTAATAGAGAACCTGTGATAAATGTTCAAACTGATCCACGTCTGAATCTGTCTCTGACTGATGCTTACCTGTGATAAATGTTCAAACTGATCCACGTCTGAATCTGTTTCTGACTGATTCTCATTGTCTTCTTCTCTCATCACCTGTATAAAATCAAAGGATGTTTTAAACAGGTCTTATACACAGGGTCTTACAATGCACTCCTAAGGTCAAAATTTTGTAAATGAGTTAAGTCCTCTAGAGTCCATTTAATTTTCTACACTTTTTCTAAGCACTTGTAGATAGGACCTTATAAACTGATTTGTGGTATGTGAGTGCACCTTGATGAGGTTTAAATTAATTTTGTGTTTTTCTCTACTGCAATGATTTCTGATCGATGTATGAATTTTAAATTCCAAGAGTAACCAGGTTATTTTGGCGGTAAGGGACTGGCATTTTGAAACATTCTCAAAATGCTTGTTTATTTGATCTCAACCTCAATCTTGACCAACTTTAGTTTGAAGAAGTAAATTCCTGATATTTTTCAACCCTTTACCCCCTGATCCATACCAATTGTAGCAGACTTTTGAGAAGCACCCCTCTGTGGACCTCTAACCACTCCTTCTGCTGGGCCCCCATCACAATCAGCTGATCCACACATTCCTCCCCCGTCACCACATTCTGTTCCTCATCACTGTCCACGTACACGGTCTGTCCATTGTCACGGTGATACTGGGCCTGAAATATCCACAACTGACAATTCATACATTACTTTATTGAAAAAAATATTCCTAGTATCCAATGTTGTTAAAAGTACAAGTCATTATATCTCAACTAAAAGCATTTAATTGGGCTAATTCTTATTCTGGATTAAAATGAGCATGAACAGTAGTTGTTTTACCTAAGGAAAAAAAGGATACTTGGATAAGAATTTCAAATAATTTCTGAATTATTTCCATAAACAGAAAATTTTTGCATTTCAATTTTGAAAACTCACTTTTTCCTTTGAGAAGAAGATGCTCTGATAGATGGTCACTCCACTCTCAGGATAAAACAGTTCTGGTCTGAAGGGAGAGAACATTTGTCAGCAATTTCAGAAAGAAGTTAAGAAATGTAGTGATTGTGTACAGGAATAAATAGCACAGGACAATATCAAAGAAGAAGTGAACATTGTTTTACTTGATATACTTGTCTGTGTGGTAATGCAATAAGAAGTACTTCTCAACAGTTACATATCTCCATTCCATCAGCACCAAAGCCTGTCAAAGCAAGACCACTACCTCTCCTCAGGAAAACGTTTGATAAAATATTGAGTTTTTAGAGGTTTCCCTCTTATAATTTCAATAGTTATTTTCTGACATTGCAATTTCTTGAAACAGATACAGTGGACCCTCAGATATCCGGATGCTTCAGTATCCAGACCAATTTTCTTAGGAACAGAATTTTTTATTGTTATTTATTCTTGTTTAACTGGTAATTCAGATATCCAGACACTTCACATATCCGGACAAATTGACTAGGACCAAAGTGTCCGGATAAATGAGGCTTCACTGTACTCAGTTTATGTGCACAAGTGAAAAAATTAGGGATGTCAACCGGGTACTCGATCGAAGTGAATACTAAAATCGGTACTCGGTTACTCGGATGTTTATTTTTGAATATTTCTAATATTATTTATTAATGCATTAAACAATCCGTTTTAAAGCGTAAAATGCTCATTGCACTTGTACATACAGTAATTAGGGTTTACTACGACTCTAAATGACCGTTATCGCCTGTGGCAGTGTTTATACAGTAATTATCGTGACCAAGTACCTGGGGTACCTGGCTTTTCTCACCTCGCCTTCTTCCCTTATTTTTTGTTTGGCTTTAATTATTTGTTTTCACTGAACATCGTTTAAGATCCATTATGTTTAAATAAATTAGATAATTTTGTCAATTCTCCGAAAAGCCGTAAATTCTCGGGAAAAGAGCGGATGATATTACATGTGTGATTGTTGATATGGTTGTGTTTGATTACATGCCAAAACAACTGGTTGAAGGCAAAGGCTAAAAAAAAAAACTGATGTCCATCGTTGCATCAAACTACAAAATACCGTCCTGTAATACTATATAAATCTCGGATCGAACAAGTGTACTAAAATCGTAAATCCGCTCTATTAGGAGATCTTGATCAAGTTCAAGTTGATACTGTACGTAGCTCTGACGACTGATAGTGATACCTGGTTGTCAAAGGCGACAAAGAGTTACATTATACAATTACGCAGCAGATTATTTTTTTAAACAAAAACACAGTGAACAACTTATGATTTTATTTCTTATCTTTATCTGATAAATTTAAAAATTGTTATATTAAATCTCATCGGGCACGAAGTGCTCATCATTATTACAACAGAAAAGCTAACCTCCTATAAGTGCATCTGGTTTTATTTCTACAAGAGTTTACAATGTTTTACAGTCTTCAATTTACTTACACTTTTACCGAGTACCCGGGTACTCGATCGGAAAAACGTCCGAGTAACCGAGTATTGAAAATTGACCGATTTGACATCCCTAGAAAAAATGTTTACACATGTATATTGTGAAATATCAATATTGGAGAGCTACATTTCCTTGCTTAGGGTTCAAGATTTGGAAAGTGTTACCTTCATACAGATTGGTTCTTTCCTTTGGACATGATGATAAACTGTAGATGAGAAGGCTGAGAATCCAGCCTTCTCGTGTCTGTTTAGAATGTTCTCCCAGGACCAGCGTTCTGAAGGAAAGTAAACTCCAATCACTGCGATCTCGTTCTTCTTTATCAGCCCAAGCACATATGTCTCAACTAAAAACAAGAAAACTCAAACAATAAAATGAACTTCCTTTTACAAAGATTTTAAAAACATAATCTTATCATCAGATTAATTTTAAATATTATATACCCAGATCAGCAAATATTTGAATGGCGTTTTCTCTCTGATCTGCAGGTCCCTTTAGGTAGTAATGATCATGAAGGTCTATCTTCTTCAGATAAGGCTGAGGTTTGCCGTAAAAAATGCTTGGACCACTCATAGCTGTACTGACATGTATCTACAATAATTCAGTGTACACACTCAGTAAGAAATTCAATCTAAATACATCTTCTTCAAATTTGAACTTCATACTGCCACCCTAGGACACTGTTTCAGATCATTTCTCACATTTATATCAATTGCATAGGCAGACGAGAGTACGGGGTTTCATGCTACAATTATGAGTATTTGAAATGCTTAGTTCGAAACTCTAAAAACTTCTTGAATCAAAGAAACAATAAAATACCATAAACTGTTTCCTTCTCTGTGGCTGGTTGTTAAATTTATGAATTAATGGTTTTAAATCAAAAATTGCTTCATAAATAAATCGCCGTGCTTGATTGCATTGTTTTCCTCGAGGCGATAGATGATTGACACGCCGAGAAGCCAAACTTTAAAGGTGCTAATGATAATTATCGAGTAACAACTACCGGGGTAACAATAGTTTAATAAAATTATAATTTGGCACAACTATTTAAATCATAGTTTAAAAATAAAAAAAATAAATGCACTTTATATATGACGTGATGAATCAAAAATTACATGTAGGTCTACAAGTTTTTTGGAAAAATGTCTCCAGTATAATATGATCTTACCATGAGCATCCACTCCGTTCATGTAAATATCTGACATCTTATTTTCTTGCCCATCTTTTTTCTCTTCAGAGATTGGATTAATTTGAAACAAAGCCTTTAATATCTGTGATTTAGACTGATATACAAGATCCATTCTGCAAAAAAAAATTAAATTAAAAATTTGACATTTATTCCGGGCACTAAAGCATATTCAAACTTTTATCAATACTTTAGGCCTTGGAAGTTGGAACTTTTCTTGAGTAGGCAAACAAGAAGTCCAAGGGCCTTAACAGTCATTTGAGTATACATGTAATACAATGCTGGTCTTAGTAGCCAGTAAGAAATGTTAAAGTAGACTTATTCACTTGCTCGTAACCCCCCCTCCCTTTCCCATTTTTCATTCATTATCACTTTGCAGACTTTACAAAATGGTAATGCTATAGAGCACTTTTAGTACATGTTGTCCCATCTCATTCCATCTCACATTGACCTTGCTTGTTCTCAGGTGAACATTTAATGTACAAAGCAATGCTTATACAGTACTCTTTACGTGTATTTTAGTAAATTCTGATAAAAATTAAGTTTACCTCATGGCCTGTTGTCTAAATAGTGAGATAAGTGAGGGGTAAGGGTTTGGAGGGAGGGGCTCTTTATCTTTCAGGGTGGTCAAGTAACTTTCCCATGCTTCATCTAGATGTGTATCGATGGAATACTGAAAACATAAACTTACGTTTAAATGAATATCAATATACATGTAATACTGAAAATACAAATTAACATGCAAATGCATATCAACTGAATGCTGCAATACATTGCTTTTAGTGGCATAAAACAACATATTTACATGCTGATGACTACTTCATTTTAAATCTGCTATCACTTTATACTATCTTTTACTTACTTGCATTAGTACCCCCTCAACTCTAATCAACTGGTTATAATCACTACCATTTGCTTCAACGTCTATAACTGAAAGAAAATACGTGTACATGTGTTTCATCACAACTATAAAATACAGCTTTTAATGCATGCTATATACATGTATGTACCTTATATGTCATTTGTCATATTGCATCAAATCCATTTCAATGCATTGAAAAAATGATTTTTGATTTTTAATGCAATTCTTTATAATCTGATACAGAGAAAGTCTACAGATGAATACTGTTAATGTAGTAAATTTCTTTTGTTGCTATGTAATTACAGAGTAACCTAAACATGAAGCATGCCTTTTCAACTGACATATGTATGTACTATTTTATTATTACTAATACTACTCACCCATGCGTTCATGTTCTAGATCTTTCATTTTCTCATCTTCCATACCATGATCAACATCATCCATGTGTTTGCCACCTCCCTGTCCACAAAAATTACACAAAATGCATCTGTGTAATATTCTACTAAAGTGGAGTTTTAAATATTCTACATTTAAAGACATTTGCCTAAAACAAATAAATATTCTTGTCATTTTATAACTTATATATTGTACTTATCATATTCAATCTTGTACACATCAAATGACAATTAAAACAGTGCAGTTTGAGAGAACACAGTAATTTTTCCACCCATTTTGTACACATTGTTTAAGACTATCCTTACACTGGCATCAGGTCCCTGTCTTCCTGTGAACACTGGTTGGGGCTGTACATCACGATGATTCTCCATGGCAACATCCAAAATCTTCATCTAAACAAATCATATAAATTGTTTTATGTTACTGTGCAATATCTAATATGCACCAAATCTTTTGATACTTACAATCACTGTTTTGTAACACACCAATAAACAAAGTAAAATGTGAGATAGTTTCTATTACATGCACATGTTTTACTCCAAAAACAAATTAGTTGGCTTGCTCTCATTTTGTATTTTACAAATAAGTACTAAGGCATTGTACTCAATAAGGCATCAAGTGGTCAATTTTACATCAATATCATCCAATTTATATTCTAACAACCAAATGAATTAAAATTCTAGAGCGGTCATTGTTTAACTCACTGTCAGAATGGGACAATAATCCCTCAGATGCTCTGAAACCTGAATCAACATTCCCTGGATGTAGAAATACAATGAACACAGGCTTCCATGGAGCTAAAATACACACACAAAGTCATGTTATTCACTTAGGCAAACTATGGTGGAGCTATAATATTTTTTATATGCTTATAAAATGAAGTCCAAAGAGATGGACACTTTTGGTTCCTTATAAATGTATTTTGTGAAATCCATCTAGTGTATATTTTAAAGCCAGTGGGAAAGAAAATAACTTCACTGTTAGCATGTTTTACTGTAATTAATGTCACTTATTTCTTAAAATGTATTATCTGAAAATTCACTATTATTCAATTGAGACACTTTGTAGGAATATACATATGTAAACAAGTCAGTAGGTTTTTGTTCTGAAAATTTTACCACTATTTAGTATATATATGAATATACGAAAATTTCAAATATATATATGCATAAATAAACAAAATATAAATTTTATGTAAGTACTAAATAATGAAATGCTTTGCTCTTTGTTAAAGTTACTCTCTTAAATTTATATATTTCATTGATTCACATACGTGAGTGTCTATAACCAGTTAAAGTACCAATCTGGCACATACATGCAATCTTCTGAAGATTTACTATGAAGTTACTATTCTCACCATCAGTCAACTAACAGACAATCTCATATCACCGGTTGACAGCGTCTTTTGCTATTACAATAACAGTTTGTCCGTATGTTTTGTATACCTGCAGGGGACTCGACAAAACACGTCCATTTCTTTATATACTAAAGATCTGGTGATTTTTGTCATATTTTCTTTCTCTGTATTCATTTAAAGTCGCATAAGGTGTCATTAAAACATTTTAACATTTTTAATCATCAATAATCGCAATTTTTCGTATATTGTGTTTACCACTTTCCCATTTCTGCTCCAAAAATTAACCAAATACCTTGAAATTTTTATAAAGACGTCAAAATTGATTAATGAATCGAATTATGATAATTTTTATCCCAGGAAAACTTTTATTCCGACTTAATTTTTGTGTATTCTCTAACATAACCTTGTCATTTTTACCGTGCGCCGTAGGACTGTACCCTGTGCACATTCAAGCATAATAAAATCTTTATTTTTGTCTATATATTATCAAAAACATAAGGATGCACTAAAGTATGATGAATAAACATTTACTAATTTCCTTACTTTTCGGTGAATTTGCCCTCGTACATGTAATAGTATTTAATGAAATGCTTTGCTCAAAATAATTAATTTCCTTGATATATATTTTTTGACATTTTGATTTGTATTGATATAAATAATAAATCTTATAAAGAAATCAATATATATATAATTCCATACAAAATTTTGCACAATTTTTAAACTTTATGACAAAATCTTATAAAATCCTCCCGCTCTACTTTGTAAACATTATTCAGGTTTTCAATTTAAATGTAAATCTATGAAAAATAAAAGTGATTTCTGAAAAAAGTTTGTTTGTGTTATTTATCCTTAATGTTGTACAGACCTCTTCTCTATTTAAGTCCTCCAACAGATAACTGGTGATTTCAATTTTTTGATTTCACAAAAAGTCAAAAAACATTTTTTTATTTGACAAAAACCAAGCAAAATAAATGCTGTTGGTCCAACTGTCTTCTAATTTCCTTGGTGAATTTGCCCTCCTATAATTTATTTCCAAAATAATTAATTTTCTAACATTTACTTACAATATACACTGTAAACCAACTATTATTTGATTTTTTCGTGAAAGTAGGTCGCAAAACTCGCAAATATTTCTCACACATGAATAAAAGTTGGTTTACAGTAACTGAATATATCTAGGTACATGAACATTATGTGAAATGACTGTGCATTCATAATTCAATCATTTTGGCAAGTTTCATATGGGTTCAAGTTACGTGTATAGTTATTTTGAAGTAATCCTAATCTGAAAACTTTAACTATTTAGTCATTCAAAAAATATATGCCAGCATTTGAAGCTTACCTGATAAAATGCATCCCTAGATGCTTCATCTATGCAAGATTAAACAACAAATGTCTAATAGTTCCTTGGAAATGAACCTTGATCCAAAAAATTAAATTTCATCATTCACCTTGAAAAGCTAGGTGAGCACCCAGGATCAAATGCATGTCCAAAAACTTAAACCAGGTCACTCATCCAGAAAAAAGTAGGTCAAATCCAGCATCCACAGCCAGATTTTTATTGTGCATCCCTAAATGCATTAACCATGCAAGTTTCATTTAGGCAAGTCTTTCTGGGGAATGCACATGCCCCATTTACTTTAACCTGGATGTCTATACATTGGATTTAGCATAACCTCATCTAGCCTTCTACATGGTTATGATGTGTCACATGACTAAGATTTCAAGTAAGGATTATTCCTACTTTAAATACAAAGCAGTTTTATTTTTCACTTTTTGTGTAGATGTAATGGTAAATCTTCCTAACACATGTATGTAACTTACGCTGTCATGCAGTTTGGTTAGTAACAGCAGACTTTTACACTGGTCCCATAGAACACCAATTTTGCCAAAGGATGATCTTAACAGTAGAAAGAGCTCTTCTGCTATCTCAGTGGGGTATAAATCTCTAACAAATACAAGAGGCCCACGGGCCTTATAGGTCACCTGAGTTTCATGTAACAACTTTCCAACAATTGAATTTGGTTTGTGTTTTAAACCAGAGGCCATGAAATTCACAATTTTGCAAAGAGGCACTGCTGCTTATCATAATTATACACTTAGCAATGCTTACCAGATAGTCACTTAACACCCATAAGTAGATTAGAGTAACTAAGAGAAAAATGCACTTCCATTCTAAACCATGCAATTGTGCACCCCATCCCACAGAAACCATAGACCCTGGGGCCATTTTATCATCATGAAATTCACAAATTTGAAAGAGGCACTCTTGATCATAACTATGTACTTAGTTAGTTTATTTAATACCCAGAGCAGAGAAAAAGATTTTCAGAGATTCAATGCATTTTCACTATATAATCAATAGAGCCCCGCCCTAACACCAGAACCCCTGACCCTGGGGCCATAAAATTCACAAATTTGAAAGAGGCACTCTTGCTCATCATAACTATGTACTTAGTTAGTTTATTTTTTGAGATTCAATGCATTTTCACTGAAAATCTATATAGTTTGACCCTGGGGCCAAGAAATTCACAAATTTGGAAGAAATCATAACTATGTACTTAGTTAATTTATTTAATATCCAGGAGCAGAGAAGAAGATTTTCAGACATTCAATGCATTTTCACTATATAATCAATGGAGTCCCGCCCTATGTTGAAATTCACAAATTTGAAAGAGGCACTCTTGCTCATCATTAATGTACTTAGTTAGTTTATTTAATACCCAGAGCAGAAGATTTTTTCAATTATATAATCAATAGAGCCCCGCCCTAACACCAGAACCCCTGACCCTGGGGCCATAAAATTCACAAATTTGAAAGAGACACTCTTGCTCATCATAACTATGTACTTAGTTAGTTTATTCAATACCCCAGAGCAGAGAAGAAGATTTTCAGAGATTCAATGCATTTTCACTATATAATCAATAGAGCCCCGCCCTAACACCAGAACCCCTGACCCTGGGGCCATGAAATTCACAAATTTGAAAGAGACACTCTTGCTTATCATAACTATGTACTTAGTTTGTTTATTTAATACCCTAGATCAGAGAAGAAGATTTTCAGAGATTCAATGCATTTTCACTATATAATCAATAGAGCCCCGCCCTAACACCAGAACCCCTTGGGGCCATGAAATTCACAAATTTGAAAGAGGCACTCTTGCATCATAACTATGTACTTAGTTTGTTTATTTAATACCCTAGAGCAGAGAAGAAGATATTCAGAGATTCAATTTTCACTATATAATCAATAGAGCCCCGCCCTAACAACAGAACCCCTGACCAGGGGCCATGAAATTCACAATTTTGGAAGAGGCATCTTTCTGCATTATAACTATGTACATAGTTTATTAGTTTAATACCCAGGAGCAGAGAAGAAGATTTTTGATGAATTAATGCATTTTCACTGTATAACCTATTTAGTACAGAACCCCTGCCTGGGGCCATGAATTTCACAATTTTGGAACTCTTATTACATTCATGTCAACAGTAGAAAGCACACCCCACCCCTCAGAGGGGGTGGGGATCTTTTTTGTTCCCCTTCACCCATAGATGCTGTATACCAAATTTGGTTGAAATTGGTTTAGTGGTTTAAGAGAAGAAGCTGAAAATGTTCAAATGTTAACACACGACACACGACGGACGACGACGGACGAAAACGGATAGCAATAGGTCACCTGAGTGACTCAGGTGACCTAAAAAATGAATAATCCAAAGTGTTATTTCACCAAAAATGCATGGGATTTTTCATACTGAAAGTTTGCTGTGAGAAATGTATATTATCTGAATAACACTATGTTGAAAAGCAATCAGAATTTTTTTTTACTTAATAATGAGGTAGTTCACCGTTTAACAATGCAAAAACAGGGGTTCATTGTTAACTTCATCTATTACATTGATGAATTAATTATAAACTTCATCTAGCTTTATTCATACACACACATACCTGACTCCTTTAATGACTTCTCTTGTAAATGGTCCCTTAGGTATGAAACCTTCAGTGTCCTTCACTCCCCTGAAGACTGTAAACAATGTCAAGGTCATATTTATTACAATTATTGATGAAAGAATATCCTAGAACAATATTATCACAGATAATTCAATTTATGCCGCTATGAGAAATCTTTTAAATTTCACACCAGCAGATAGTTACAGATTTTTTAAACCAATCAAAATTTTTGTTTTTGTTATGCCATTTCTGCTAGCTTGTTATTGATGTGGGAAAAAAAACACCACCCGCCCTTTTTATGGATTCGATTTTGTATTATTTTGCATTCTAGTCAAAATTTTTATTTTACTAATAACTTGTAATACGTTTCTTGGATTGCCGCAATTGTTTGCCATTGGAAACCTCCAAGGATTAACTCATTTATTTTATATTTTATGCATATGTATATGTACTCCGATATTTTCACTGCATGTAAATTTCTAGCCAGTCTCAGGGGGATCACACTTGTACCTTTCACCTATGTACATGTTTTTTTACTGTATTGATTAATATTAGGTGGTCCACCTTAATGGTTTGTTATACATTTTACTTTAGCTCATTCAATTAAATGATCTAATGGACAAAACTGCATATCTGTGTTTGGGTTATATTTTGCTGCACTTTCAGGCTGATATTTCTCATAGGAGGCATAAATGTTATTCTTTGTTTTCAGCAGACTTGTATCTTTGCTTGAACATCTTGAAGCATAAATAAATAGTTTTAAATACCATATTACTAAGATTTATGTTAAGAAATTTTCACTCTGAATTTGACATTTTAAAATTAAATTTAATTTTTTCAATCACTTGAATATTTTTCTATAGTACCAGATTTCTCAGTGTCCTCTTGAATGAAGAGATTGAAGTAATACTCAGCGTGATGTTTGTCCAGATAAACTCCATCATACAGAGATAGCAGGGGGGTACCCACTTCTGGAAGTCTTCATAGGGCAAAAAGTATACATATTTATCAATGAAAACTACATATGGGAAAAATCTTTCATTTACATGTTTGCCAGCAAAAAAAATGCTTTTCAACATATTTTAATCAATATCCAAAATAAGCATTATTTTCTTACATTGCACAGAACCCTCAAGGTTTTAGCCAATCAAGTCAAGAAAATCGCATAACATTCATGTCTACATTCTTAATGGCTTGACATTTAGTTGTAACACAGCCTGACGTACTTGATATCCTCTTGATAAGGAGCGCCCTCGGGTGGATGACGGAAGTTGACGGCGTACTGTATCTGACCAGCGGAGTAGCGATCCCCGGCCGCGTCCAGAAGAAACACACAGTCTACGGTAGGATATAAATGATACAACACAGCACGGCTCACTGCCTGTATAAAGTTCTCCTGTGTGCGAAACAAACAAAAGATTGTTTTCTACCCAAAAATACACATATTTAATGAAAGACATTAAACAATACACAGTCAATCATCATTATCTCAAACTCAAGGGGACCTGCAAAATATATGATATCCATGCTTATATACATGTATGGTCGAGGGTCCTATAGTCCTGCATGCCCAGTAGTCGTGCACCATTTTGTTTGTTGTCAAAAGTTGGTCACGTGCTATGATATTACGTCATAAACAACTGATTTTCAAAGAAGAGAGAAGGAAGTGCCTATATAAAACAAAAAGTCAAATATGCGGAGGAAACATGTATAAATTAATCAAATAAACATAAGCTATATAAAAGCCGCCATTTTGCTAATACTCTCTTCAAAGTTTCTAAATACCGGTATATACTCTACCTGCACAGAAGCGCCACCTATGGACATGGCGAGCACATGGCTAATTAGCATAATCATACGTGATGGTCATGCGGTATTTCATTTTTTTCCATTTGTCAAGAATTTTAAAAGATGACTTCATAAAAATGCTATAGTCCATATACTGAAATTCGCAATTATTACAAAGGAATACATGTAAATAGTGATGAAAAACTTATGACTTATTTTAGAAAAACAATCGTACACCTAGTCAAATCAAATAAATTCTAAAAATGATTGAATTGGTCCTTGAAGAATCACCTGAAATTTGTTTTTATTGTTTTCATTTTTCTTGGCCCAATATTTGCTGTTACATTGGAACGCACGAATACTGCTCCAAAACAAATGTGGCTGACGTAAACCTCACTTGTTCTGTGCCCCAATATTAAATTTAATAAAGCGCTTAGAAATATTTTTAATAACAAGAAAATTAGACAATTACACGGTAAGTTAAAATATCAGATGAAATAACTATAATTCTTATTTAAATTGTACTTAGCACTGATACTCTCTTAAGATCATGACTACAGGGCACTCGAGGGTACTTACAGAATAAGCAGTTAAGACTTATAAATCACTTTGACATATCTGCTGTATTTGAGATAATGTTTGAGATTTTGAAGTTCAACTGTATATATTTACATTCACTGTGTTTTTCTACTAAGCCAACTGTGAAATTGATTTGAAAACCATTTTCGTGTATACCCACATGTAGAAATATACTCAGAGAAACGTGCATTAACGTGACATCACATTAGGGCTGCAGCAACATTAGTAAAAATGCAACAATATAGGGCAGCAAAAAATTCAAATATTGAGTATATTTTAGCTGCTTCTAAACATATAAAATGTTAATATAAGGAATGTTTTTAAGTTTTGTGTGAGTTACACAGACTTGGTGTGTGAATCACAAGCTTAGAAAAATTGCACGTAGGCATATGTGTTTCACACACCAATAACTCACACAAAACTTACATTCCTTATGTACTTGAACTTCAATATCTCAAACATAATCTCAAATACATGGGATATGCATGAATATATGCATGAATAATCAATATTAACTGAACTGTGAATATGAAAAATATGTCAGTCATTAATTGTCTTACCAATAATTCATAATTTAAAATTAAAAAATGTAGTTTATATAAATGATTCAACCTTATATAGAATGGGTGTTAACTGTGAAGTCTAGCCTACAGATTGTCATATAAATAAAATCATTAATTTTTTTATGAAAATGAATTAATGATTCTGTCTTTTATTTATACCTTGTCTGTTTCTACATTTTCCAGATTCCATTTATCCACAAAGTGCATCTTCTCATGGTGTGGAATATGTACATCTGTAATGATATACCAATCATTTGATTAATGTGCTTTTGTTCTATTTATAGCATTAAAGGAATGAGAGAGGAAAAAGTTTAAATATTACAACACACCATCTACAAATCCAAAAACTATTTAGTCTCTACAGTCATTTATCCTTTAAGCTATCAAAACAGTAACACATCTGAATTGATTGAATTCAGCTTTTAAAAGAGTGCGTAATACTTCTAGCTACACGTACTATAACTGTCAGTTACACTACTTGTAATCCCAACAGTCAGTTACACCACTAGCTATTGCAAGTCAGTAAAACTTCTACCTACATTAAAGCAGTAATTTACATGTATGCTTCTAGCTCCAACAAGTGCCAGTCAAACTTTTAGCTATCATACCAGTCAGTTACACTTCTAGCTATCACGATAGTCATTTTCATTTCTAGTTACTGTAAACAGGGAAATTTTCGTCCCCGTTTTATTTTCGCCCCTTCACCCTACACTTGGTTGCGCAAATTTAAAATGGGGCGAATTCAAAGAATGCAGTATAATATCTTAAACAAAACTGTGAATGGGCGAATTTAAGACAGGGCAAAATTGTTTGCAAGTTTGAAAGGGCGAAAATAAAGCAGGGTGAAAATAACCCTGCATACAATATTACATTAGTCTGTTAATCATCTAGCTATCATAACAGTTAGTTGCATGTCTATCACCTTACCCATGACATGGTGTCTCTCGTCAAGGTCCCTCATGTGGCTAATGATCCCATCTGCAAACTCCTGTATACCCTAGAAATAGGAAAAATAATCCTTACAAACTTAAAAAATTAAAAATAAAGTGAAGATGTGCATCCTCACACTTAATCAACATTTGTAGGCAGGCTAATTTTAAAATGTGAACATGTATTTATATATGTACTTTTTATGCATATTTTCATTTCTCGCAAACGCAAGTAGGAATGCATTTTTGTATGCTTTATATAAAGGATGTGGTTAACCTTGGTTAATTCCCCGGTAAATTGACAAAATATAAACTGTGGTATATTTTGTTCAAATTTTTGCATGCAGCTAATCACTGATATGTGTACCTTTAAAAATACTATTTTTTTTAAACAAAAATAGAAACGTATTTGAAAGATATAGACCCTTTATTGGGGTAGGGGTATCATGTTTACATCCAATTTCTTTGCGTTTTAAACGCCCCATCTAAAAGCCCTTAAAATATTTTCATGATATATGTTCTTTTTAGTCACTGGATTTTATTGAAATCTACCTATTTGTAAAAGGAGAAAATTGTACCTAACTGCGCTCACATGCTATTTTTAAAAAACTGTAAAATCTATTTTTCGCATTATGAACAGATCGACGGAACTAGATTTTCTGAGTCAGAATAAATTCATATGCTATCGAGGCACTGGCGATACTCTCTAACTGACCAATCAGCTAAACAAAATTCGTTACGATGAGTACCATAAAAATACTATGGAAACATGCTTGGAATTTTACTGCTATCCGATATTTTTTTTTATACATTTGAGTCACAGATTAGACACGGATCAACATATGTACAATTTCAGATTACAGTAAGATTTTCATACAGTTACAAACAATTTATAAATACATGACAGTATACATTAGTTAGTCTGGTAGCGTGTTTGGTGAGCAATTCGCTATAGGTCTACGCGTATTCCCTAGTATCAGTGAATACAAGTTTCATGTGCATTTCTTGCCCTAAAAACCGTAAATGCTGAAAATACATGCGTATTAATAAGTACAAACAGACTTGACTGACCATTATAAAAGTCTGAAATGTAGAAAACTATGACAGGTAAATTGACCTAAACCACGTGTCTGTGATAAATTGTAAACGTAGTAAACCAGCATGTTTTGTTGTTCTGTCATCGGATTGGACAATGACTATGTGCGATATAATAACAATAGCCATATAAGGGCTTCTCGGACACGTATATTCTTCTTTTGTACTAAGACCCGCCCATTCTCTTGCCATAAAAAACATATTCTCACAAACCTGGCCTAATTTAGCTGTGATAGGGTGTAAAAAATCAAAGGTAATGCAGTTTTCCTTGCAATTAAAATGTGTCTGAACCATTGAAACTACTGAAAAGGCGTCGTATTTATTCACTCATGTTTGAAAACTACCAACATCTTTGTAGATTAAATATAATTCGTCGTGGAAAAAGGGGCCCAAGATAGCAGTTATGTCACATCATCCTTTTAGCGCTTGCACTTGTCAGTAAAAATGTGATTTTTTTTTTTATCCACACCCGTATTTGACTTTTTAGTTAGTCAAGCACGGAAACACATTAGTACTCCCGTATATCAGTAAACATTCGTTGACTTTACAGCGGTACGTGTTGCTATCACATGGACGTGGTACAATGTTAAAATTTATTATATTTCTATTTTCAATTAAAAGAAATGGAGTATTTACTCATTTAAATCACATTAAAATAATGCATGCATAGACAGAAAATTACTTAGATAAAACGGTAATCCTAATCAGGTATTTTCTGCAAGCTAAATCGCCGTGCTTGATTGCATTGTTTTCCTCGAGGCGATAGATGATTGACACGCCGAGAAGCCAAACTTTGAAGGTGCTAATGATAATTATCGGGTAACAACTACCGGGGTAACAATAGTTTAATTAAATTATAATTTGGCACAACTTTCTGTCTTCCGAACATGTGCAGTGCTAGTGTGTATAAAATCCAATGACCCTTGGACATTACGTTCCGGTTTATATGTACTTATGTAAAAGCTTTGAACACACAAAAATGATATTTAGAAATCCTTTAGCGCACAATAAATTTTAGTGCTCAGGGGCTCTTGCGCCAATGGCGCTAAAATTAGTAGTGCGCCAAATATTCTCGTTTTACAGTATGTACTTTTTATGCATATTTTCATTTCTCCAAAGAAAGAAATAGAAAAACATTTTTGTATGCTTTATATAAATTGTATGTGGTTAACCTTGGTTAATTCTGGTTGATAGACCGTCACCTCCAGCCTAAACTGTGGGGTATGGACTTCTGAGTAGTATGTTCCCTCAAAGACAGCTGGCCCAACCAATGACAAGGACATGGACCTCTGTAAAAATTTTGATTTCATAATTTTTTTAAAATTACTATTATACAATGTTTATATGAAAATTCAATTTCTTGAAACCTTCATATAAAATCTTCAAATATTTTCATGATATATGTATTATTAATGTTTTATTATGTAAAGTTGCATCTAACTTAAGTCCCACAAAATCATGAACAAAATTAAACATTAAAGTAAAACTTTTTACTTTTCTAACTGAATTTAGTCAAATAAACCTAAAAATGGCCTTGCATTTTATATAAAGAATTAAAAATATCCTTTTTTCATGGAGATGGCCAGAAATGGATAAAGTATAGGATACTGTTAGCACTCACAGAGTGTCCGGGAAATGTGCTGAGGTCTGAGACAAGCCAGGCATACTTCTGTAGATGAGTGGGGGACACAGCACTAACCACTCCGCTCAGTCCCCACACATTGTGATGACCCCTGACACTGACCACGCCCTGCAGGTGAGAGTGGTCAAACTGTGTATCTGTGCAAAAAGAAGGATGGAAATTAGCTAAAAATAGAGCAGAAACAATATATCTGTACAAAAACAATTATGGAAATCACCTAAAAACAGACCATATTGAATTGCAGAAAAAGTCTGAAAGTGAAAGGTGCACGAGTGGAAAGCCATCATGTTTACCAACTTGTATGTTTAAACATAGGTAATCAGAGATTACAGAACTCACCTCAACGAATGTTGTCTTTAAGTAAGGCAAAGTCACACAATTAACCAACAAAAAGTGTACATCCAAAAATGCAAAATTTATCCAATTTTGATTTGATACTTTGGAATAGACCTATATAAAAACTTCAAACTAGTTCTTCATCATGAAAACGTCATTAAAATCCAGCATCTGAAGCACGTTTGAGAGTTTTCATCCCTTGATGCATCATTTGTACAAGTTTGGTTTATATAAGCCTTATAGTTAATAGACCTGCACCCATAACTTTTACAAGGTCTATTACCGGTATCTGGAAAAAGTATGTCGAATTCAGCATCTGAAGCAAGTCCATTAGTGTGCATCCTAAGATGTATCATCCATGCAAGTTTACTCAACATAGAGCTCAAAATTACTTGGAAATGAAACCTGTATAAAAAAACTAACCTTTTCACTAATCCAGAAAATGTAGGTCAGATTCAGCATCCGAAGCCAGCCTAATAGAATGCACCCTTAGATGTACCATCCATGCAAGTTTGGTCACTATAGTGCTCATAGTTACTTGGAAATGAGACCTGCACTGAAAACATAAACCTGTTCACTCATGCAGAAAATGTAGGTCAGATTCAGCATAACTGGAAATGAAACCTGCACCAAAAAAGAACTATATGCGGTATATTGCATATGTTTGCCCCCACAAAAGTCAAATTTTGAAAACTTCCTGAAATGTGCTGAATTCAATAAATTGTACGAGAAATATAAGTTAACAAAAAATATTATAGTTCCAGAGCAGTGTATTCACAATTTCTGTTTTTATGACGTCACAAACTTCCGATTTTATATCCTTTTTCAGAAAGAGGACAAAATGGACAAAATTTCAACAATTTAAGCTTTAAAATTTATAGAGCGCATGTGTGTTCAGGAACAATATTGACATATTTCATTGATATTATCATTCTACACATTATATCAAAATATTTATCCTGAACACACATGCGCTCGGTGACTTTTATTTAAAATATCGATGAAATATGTACATTTTTCTGCAAAATTCATAAAAAACTGAAATTTACGTCATATTTGTGACGTCATTACGTACATATGACGTCATTACTTATGAAATTATTCAGTGCTTTGAAGTCAGCATATACTCCCCTGTTTAAGGACTTAATTAAATATTACTCCATCAAAGTTTGATTTTGGGGGGCAAATGTTGGTTAATACCGCATATAGTTCTTTAACCTGTTCACTCTACCAGAAAATGTAGGTCAGATTCAGAATCCAAAGCAAGTCTGGTAGTGTGCATCCTAAGATGTACCATCCATGCAAGTTTGGTCACTGTATGGCTCATAGTACCTTGGAAATGAAACCTGCACCAAAACTTTAACCTGTTCACTCAACCGGAAAATGTAGGTCAGATTCAGCATCCGAAGCAAGTCTGGTAGTATGCATCCTAAGATGTACCATCCATGCAAGTTTGGTCATTATAGGGCTCATAGTATCTTTGAAACGAAACCTGCACCAAAAACTTTAACCTGTTCACTCAACCGTAAAATGTAGGTCAGATTCAGCATCCGAAGCAAGTCTGGTAGTATGCATCCTTAGATGTATCATCCATGCAAGTTTGGTCACTATTAATAATGCTCATAGTTACTTGGAAAACATAAACCTGTTCACTCATGCAGAAAATGTAGGTCAGATTCAGCATCTGAAGCAAGTCTGTTAGTGTGCATCCTAAGATGTACCATCCATGCAAGTTTGGTCAACATAGGGCTTATAGTTACTCGTAAATGAGACCTACACCAAAAACTGCACCAAAAATGTTAACCTGCTCCAAAAACATTAACCTGGTCATTCCTTTGCTGAAATTGCAGCATCTGAAACTTTGACTGGTACAACGAAACACACTAGAAACATCTTCCATGCATGTCTAATCAATATAGGACATAGAAGTACTTAAAAAGAAAACTGCTCCAAAAAACTTAACCAAAACCTGGGACACCGACGGTATTACATAAGCTCCCCCAACTTTGTTGAAGTGAGCTAAAAATGAATATGGATGAAAATAACCTAGGCACTGTATCCTACAACCATAAATCATTTTAACTACAAGTAAATAATATTTTGCAGTTACTGTAATATTAGATAATAGCTCAAGAGCCTTTCTTTAAAAATCAAAGCATGCAACACAATTCAAAATTGACAAAACCAGCTGTTAAACATTACTTATAAAAAAAATTATGCAGTAAAAACAAAAATCAGTTCCCCATTACAGGTGAAAACATTTTTTTTGTAAGTAACAGATAAGTATAATTTATTTAAATTATGGTAACAACACCTTAAGTTAGGAGCTCACACAAGTTTAATATTTTTCATATCAGCTACATGTTCAATTAAGGGTTCTTCTCTTTGGAATTTTGAGTAAGTCAGCAAAATACATAAATTCTCTACTTTTCATCATATTTATCTTGTATTGTACAGTGATATAACCTACAAAATTGATTTTCAGTCATTTTAAAAACAACTGACTGCATTTATGGGTCACTTATTCTTTGATTTTAAACAGATTAAAATGTCTTTCTGTGATGATCATGAGCCAAGTACATTAAAAGATCAGCCCTGCAAAGTGCAAAAGTTTGAACATGTACAGAATATTTCTTCCTAAGATTTCCATTCTAAATACTCTAGGTTATCATATAAAATATTGCAATTAATTACTGTATTTCTAGCATTGTATTTCGATACCTTGATTAGAAACACAACTCATTAGTTACCAGCATTATGAAAACACATCTGAAGCATATATTTTTAAAAGTGCTTGCAATCATTACTCAGTAAAGAATAAATTATTGTTCCATCAATAAGATTCAGAAGAAATCTGAAAGGAAAGAAATAGTGCAAGCCATACAGATAAAAAATGTATATGACTGGAAAGTTTATAACCTTATTTTACCCCAGACACAATTCCTCTTAACTTCCAAGGTTTAATAATTCAAAAACTTATAAAATAAATTAAATAGATGATATTGATTTAATTCAACTACCAACAATTAAATGTGTGCAATGTAAGTTATAAATTCAACAAATTAACAGGGTTGTGGTTAACCATTTACATCCTAGGAGCCATGTGGCCCCCTTACTTTTAAAAATTTAGGGGCCCACAATGTGGTTTACGGGCCCACATACCTCATCAACAAAATATTTGAAAATGCTGCTTTTCTAAACCGCCACATTATTGGTTTCACTAGGGCATACGTCTAAGTCACGCAAGTGCTTGTATCGTATACAAATGTAATAGTTTGCACACGACACCAAAAGTCATGGTTAGCGTAGTGTTTGTTATGAAAAAAGGAAGTGGATTATAAAAATACAAACAAAGCACGGTCATGTTCCGGGAACAAGACGCTCGCCATGTGGGCGATCAAATTTTCATTTCTTCATCGCCCACTTGAAATTTTAATCGCATTGGCGAGTGGGCGAGTGGTTAACCACAACCCTGTAATTAAATTTGAAAACGCATAGTGTTCATAATTATGATTTGGTTTTAGCACTACATACCCCTCTTCTAAGCTAGAAAATTGCATCACAAATCCTGGGTATGGATTGTATGGAAGCCTGGACATACTGAACAGCTGCTTCATTAGAAGTCGAAACTTTGCCTGAACTTCTGTCTCTTCTAGGTACGTAAGGAAAACTCTCATCTGTTCTGTGTTAAAATCGGGAGTCGGAGGGTTATAGCCTCGAGGTCGTGCAATCTCCTAAAATCAAAATGACACCACCTCCACAGCTACACTTCAGGTTCAATGTACAAGTTCCGTTTCTTGTTCTCCATCCTTTACAAAACCAGGGGACATACTAAAGACCTGATATACTAAAGACCTGATATTGATCTGATGGAAATTTTTATCAATGTGGAATTTCCCGATCTATTTTTAGATCAATGTAGAGAAAATAAATCCTTGTATTTACCTGGAACGTCACGTGCAGGTCAATACAACGTAGTATTTTTCTAACAAAAAATAATGATACAGACAGAAAAGACAGAGATTTTATACGTTTTTATTTCCATCAGGTCAATAAAAATTATCAGGTCAATACATTTTCCTAGTTTATGCTCGTTCCCCATAATTATATCAATATTTTTTCACATAATTATACCTAATATATCTGTCTTATACCCCAGTAATATAAGAATAACCAAAAAGTTAAGATAAACACAGAAAACAGAGAGATATTATTAATTTTTTTTTCATCAGGTCAATATCAGGTCTTTAGTATATCAGGTCTTTAGTATCTTCCCAAAACCAGGGGTTAATTGACAAATATATTTTTACGGCACTTGTCCATGAGCAAGTACATTGTCAAAATTCACTTGCCCTACTTGAATTTTTGCTAGCCCGATAATACTGTATTTATAAATATTTCATAAAAAGAGGTAGAAAAATACTGAGTAGATCATGCAAGCCTCAATGCCCAGCTTTAAATCTATGGCTTACATATTGATTTATTTTTGATAAGTCACTTGTCCACAGACAAGTGGCTGATAAAATTTCACTTGCCCACCCCTAAAATTCATTAGCCCCGGGTTTCGGGCAATGGGATTTGTCATCCCCTGCAAAACGGAAAGAATATTCTTCATCAAGCAATATAGCAACAAATAATACAGCATATACATATTGCAAAGGCTTGAGAGTTTATTCTGCATTTCCTAGAGTGTTCTAATTTAATTTTAAATTCTTATTTTTAAAATATCAATCTCCCTTCTTTTTTCTTAGCTAAAGGTCAGATTTTTAAAACTGTTATGCAGTTATGAAAATATCATTTAAAAATTAAAATGTTGAAAGTGGCAGTGGCAAGAAAATCTTGAGCAGTCTAATACCTCCTCCGCTACCTCCTCCTCAGTGTCCTGGAGGGGACGTCGTCTGACCTTCCGAGGTCGAGTCCTGCGGACATTCCTACTGTCCTCCTCAATTTCCTATAAAGAACAATAAACATTTACCGGATAAAAAGATGAGGAACAAGAAAGAAGAGACGTTATTTTCACCAAGTCTAATTTCGAAAATGCGAACTCACTGTTTCTTCTGTTCCTGGTCTTGACATGTTTTATATTAAAATATAATATCCCATCAACGTCCTTAGGATTCTGCAGTTTGTCAAATAATATAAATTTACTTTAAATATAAGCAAAATTTGGGGAAAAGGTAGTTTGCCTTACACTTTACAGTTTGAACTTGTTACAAACATTGGCGCCATCGATAATCAAGAAGTTAAGACTTACGTCAAATAATTCGTATTTCACAATGGAAGTGTTCCCCAATCTATTCCGGGTGGGGGGGGGGGGTTAATATATAAGAATCTGAATATAATTTTAATCTAGGTTGTTAAATTGCATATGTTAGAATACATTACAGCATAACTTTGTATAAAAATTGTTCAAGTTTAAACCGGAAAAAGATAACTTTTAATTTTAATTAATTAAAATTTAAATCATTTGCAGAGACATTTTCAATATGTCTCTGATATTTCTTAATTTTGTAAAAAATATTTTTAAATTACAATCAAATGTTTTTCTTAAGTAATGCATTAATTGTTCTGGAAAATATTATTGAGCCATGCCACATTTTTATGTTTGAACTCTCATCTATATATCCAGCTGGCAGTTGCCACATATTACTATTATTACAATAAGCAATGTATATATAAGACCTAGAATAACTTTATTCTTCAATAATCTTAATTAAAAAAAACTGACAAATATTGTGAGTAAACTGATGGCTTACCGTCATGAATTGAACGCTCAATGCAAATGGAAGGGCGGGGATTGCGTACGTTACCTACGACAAACAATGTGGTTCCAAAATAACACTCTCAAAACGAAATAAATTCATCAGTTCATCTGTTTTAATAAATGCTTATAAAAATGTCAATAAAATTAAATGCTCTCAAACAAAAATTCTGCTATGCTTTTATAAAGTTTGGATTCTGATTTCATATTCGTCCATAAAAAGGGGGGGGGGGTATGCATCTAAATTAATGACAAGTAATCTTTGAATTCAATATTGAATTTTAATCCTATTTTGTGACCAGTGAACTCTGATCAGTTACCCGTTAATATTGTAAAATTTTGCAGTCGTAAATTAATAAAATCTATAACATCACTTTGCGGTCTTTAGTCAGTTTAATTTATCACTATCACAACATTTTTTGTTTGGAAAAGTAGAATGTAAATAGTCTCTGAAATCTCATGCAATGGTCGTGGAAGCCAGAAACAACAGAAAATGGTGAAAGTCTCGTCATCAGTTCGTAAGATTTCCAATGTTCCTTGTTTAAGTGATGGAACCATTCTCACATTTTGGTAAGCAAGTTTTTTCTGAAACCCTACAGTTTTTAAGATTGATCCCCAAGAAGTTACGGAACTTCCGAGGGATCGATCTCCTAAACAATGGACATACAGGAAAACTTGTCAACCAAAAGTTATTCCTTTATAAGTGTACTGATGCGGATTTATGATATTTATTGCCAAAATAAAAAATTACAATTTTTGTACTGTAAATTTATAGCCCATTTGGGATATTATATCCCAAACGGACTATTATATCCCATTTGGGCGATTGGTCCCAACCTGTTTTACAACCAAATACACTTGTGTACATTGGCAGAAAAGTGTTGGTTAAGCATTTTGCCAATTTGTACGTCTTCAGTCTTCCGTCATTTGGATCATGGTAAAGAAGCCGCGACAACTCTAGTAGGGGCGCTGTAATGCGAGTGTTAGTAACACTGAATGCGTGTTCCCCGTCCCCAGTGATGGCAAATATTTCAATTGGGGCAACTTTGTGAAGACAATGAAGGTAGGAGAAAAGAAAACTCGAATTTTCTTCCTCTTGTGATCTTGACTCTAGCTCTGCAACATTTTCTATATCTTCCGGTGATATCTGAAAACACAGACATATATCAATGCCCACGTCCATATTGTTCTTTTCAGAGAAAAGATGGAGAGTTGTAGCAATGAGTGATGAACAAACGTCATCATTATCCCCGGGAAATCTCCTCCAACCAGAAGGCAAAGAGGAATCGATAATATTAAGGATTGTTTTCAGTATCAGCTGCTTAAAAGTATACTTTAAAAACACGGAACCCTCATCAAAATCTAATAAATCCGGGACCTCCGATTGCAAGGTTTCCATGAATTTTGTCGGTTTTAAAGCAAATTTAAAGTATTTATCTGAGAGACGTAGATCAAACGTTTCCCCGTCCGATAATACATCCAGAACCAATAAATAATCATATTCATCTGCTTTTCCTACTTTTGTTCCCTCGGCAACACTTCCACACTGTATTAATCTACATCCCTTGAAGAATACTCCTGCGGTCCTCAGGTTCTCTGAAAATGTCTCCATCAATTCCTGCACTTCTTTGTGAACATGTGCATTTGTTCCGTCTTCTAGCACGTTGGTAAATAAAGAAGGGTACCTGTAAAGTGCGAAACGAAATAGAAACGAAACGAAACGAAACGAACTGAAACGAAACGAAATCTGCCGAAACGAAACGAAATCTACCGAAACGAAACGAAACCTACCAAAACGAAACGAAATCAAGACGAAACGAAACGAAATCAAAACGAAACCTGCTGAAACGAAACGAAACAAACCTTTCAAAATGTTTATATGGTCTATTTTTACTTCATATGAAATTTATATAGTTCAAGCACCACAGGCAATTGTTTCGCTTCAAGTTCCTACATAGGCGTCGGAAGGAAATTGAAAGTTGGGGGGGGGGGGGGGGGGGGGGGCTTAACCAACAAAAAAGGTAAACCCAGTTTTCAATACCTATGTAATATATATCTTTGCAAGATAGTGGGGATTGAGGCTAACCCACCCCCCACCCCCACCCCCCTCCCTGCCGCTTCCGACACCTATGTCATATTTTGTTAATATCTTACTGAATAATTTACCTACTTAAAAGTGACATCGTTCGCTTAGAGAGACTTAAGCTTTTTACTTGTCAGTTAAATCGTTTAAGACGTCTATGGTCGAGCCTCTTTATTGCAAACCACTCCTTTCCTCCTCCAAAATTACCTCGATAAAAATAGGACCATATGTACGTGTAGAAAGGATACACAAGATTTCGGTTGGAGTTACATGTATAATCTGATTGAACAAAAAACCAGACACCTTGGAATGGAATACTAAATACTCTAAGTCTCTGGTTTATCCTATGTTTTAGGACATTCGCAATACAACAGTACAGTGACTTTATTTCGACCCGTACATAAACGAGCCTTTACATGTATAACATCAATGTTGATAGATATGTTGAATCTAGATAAATAAGGACTGAAAATAAGAGTAAGATATAAAAATTAGAAAATAATGCACATATTGAAACTATACATGCATAGTACGCTCGTGTATATTTGCAGCTTGCAAACATGTAAATGCATCATTAGACTGAGAAGGGAGCATAATTTATCGGTAATTAAATTTTATATTAACATGTGCTTGAAGTATATGAATTTTATTTGAAATAAAAAAAAAAAGTCCACATATAGTTACACATTTATAATTATATACATGTACCCTGATTTACAAAAAAAAAAAAAAAAAAAAAAACATTTTGATAGTTTTGTTTTGTTTCGTTTCGGCAGGTTTCGTTTTGATTTCGTTTCGTTTCGTCTTGATTTCGTTTCGTTTCGGTAGGTTTCGTTTCGTTTCGGTAGATTTCGTTTCGTTTCGGCAGATTTCGTTTCGTTTCAGTTCGTTTCGTTTCGTTTCGTTTCTATTTCGTTTCGCACTTTACAGGTACCCAATAAAGAAAGATGATCTAAAAGTTCCTCCAAGGCAGAATTAGTTTGAATTGTCGGTAAACTTTGATAACGACATGGTACGTGTACTACATGATCATTTTCTGCAACCATCTCAGTGACGCCAGATTTCTTGACCTTCTCCCATTGGTCGTATGGCCATTTGGGGGCGTTTATCTCGTATTCTTCTTGATCACTTGAGACAGGCGACTCGTTTCCAATGTTTGAAGCCATGCATTCACGCACGTGAATTCAATTTTCTAAATTTATAAAGACAGAAATGAGTTATTATTACCATTATTATTTTCATTATTTTAATTTAAAAGATATACTTAAACAATAATTATCAATGAAGCTCATCTTTATATGAAAAGCTTTATGCCTGCATATGTTTGAAAAATGTTGAATTAATTAATAATTTGAATGTCGGATTAGGATTTTTAACTGTCGTGGGCTGTCGTGGGCTGCCGTAGGCCTCTCATAGTCTTGTTAGAAAGAAACATTAAAAAGGAGGCAGTTTGATCCTTTTCAAGGAAAGCTTTATACCATTTAAATTTACAAACCTCAACATAAATAAATACAAAATTATACTTACAATATTATCACATGAAAAAAAATAAAGGAAAAAAAAGTAAATCAAACCTTGTTATTTACTATTATCCACTTTCGCTTTATAAAACGTATCGTAAGGGGCGATTTGTGTGACATAATGTGGAAAGGTTTAAAGATTCTGGAATCAGCAAAATGGCTCGAAAGAGCTTTCAGTCAAATAACCTAGAAAGAAACTTTGAAGGATAAAGCAAATTAGTAAAAAACCAAGACATAATGTGGAAAGGTTTAAAGATTCTGGAATCAGCAAAATGGCTCAATAGAGCTTTCGGTCAAATAACCTAGAAAGAAACTTTGAAGGATAAAGCAAATTAGTAAAAAACCAGCAGGAGTAAAGTTTTCAAGTTTTACAATTTTATGCCATTCATCGAGTAAATAATATTTTCCTCTGATTAAAAAATAATCTTGTTGAACAACTCGATAGACTATCACCAAAAGGATGTTTTCTACTAAAGAGTGAAATAAAGGTTCATCGACATTGATAGCTTAAAAAGATGACCACCCCTAGACCATTAACAATACTGATTGTATGAAAATGTTTTAAGTTAAACCTTGATATCAAAGCCTAGAAATTGAAATGTTATGAATCACTTTTCATATGAAATTTTGTCAGTTCAAAGTAGTTTGACGTCTGAAACGGTCTTTAAAATATCTTAAAATAAATGCCCCCTTTTGAAGATCAAAAAGATTATTTAATATTACTGTGATATATCTTCCAATGACATTACATTA